GTAATTCTGTCTTGTGGTGATGAATTTCTTTAGCTTTTTCCTGTCTAGGAAGCTCCTTATCTCACATTCAATTTTAACTGACAGCCTTGCTGGGTAGAGTAGTCTTGCTTGTAGGTTCTTTTTTGTTCATCACTTTGAATATTTTGTGCCAATCCCTTCATGCCTGCAAAGTTTCTGTTGAAAAGTCAGCTGACATTCTTATGGGAGAATCCTTGTAAGTAACTAGCTGCATTTTTCTTGCTGTTTTTAGATTCTCTCTTTGTCTCCAATCTTTGGCATTTTAATGATGATGTGTCTTAGTGTGGGTCTGTTTGGGTTCCTCTTTTTTGTGACTCTGCACTTCCTGGACCTGTATGTCTATTTCCATTATCAAATTAGGGAAGTTTTCTGTCATTATTTTCTCAAATCGGTTCTCAATCCCTTGATCTCTCTCTTCTTCTTCTGGTACCCCTATGATGTAGGTAGGTGTTGGTATGTTTGATGTTATCTCAGAGGTCTCTTAAACTTTCCTCTTTTTTTTTCTTTTTTTTTTTTAGATTCTTTTTTCTTTTTGCTATTCTGATTAGATGTTTTCTGCTACCTTGTCTTCCAACTTGCTGATTCAGTCTTCTCTGCTTCATCTAATCTGTTGATTCCTTCTAGTATATTCTTCATTCTGGTTATTGTATTATTCATTTCTGACTGGTTTCTATGTCCTTTTTTAATACTTACTATCTCTCTGTTGAAGTTCTCACTGAGATCATTCATTCTCCCCCTAAGTTCATTGACCATCTTTGTAACCAGTGTTCTGAACTCTGTATTGAGTAGGTTGCTTTTCTCCATTTCTTTTAGTTTTATTTTCTGGAGTTTTCTCTTGTTTCATCGGTGGCATGTTTCTTTGTTTTCTCACTTTAGTTTCCTCTCTTTGTTTGTTTCTATATATTAGGAAGATTTTTTATGTCTGCCAGCCTTGGCCAGGTGTCGTGTGTGGCCCAATGGCACAGTTTTCCTGCTCACCTGCACTGGGGGCTCTGGGCATATTCTTTGTGCAGTTGTGTATGTTCTCCTATGGTAGCTAATCCTTGATTGCTGTTAGCACATCAGTGGATAGGATTGACTCTCAGGCTGACAAGCTATGGGGTTTGGCCATGCCCACAGGGTATGAGCTGCTGTGTGGAGGCTGATACCATGGAGTGGGATTTGCCCCAGCAGTCTCATGTACCTATTGAGACCACCCTTTGAGTGTGCCACTTATAGGACTAGTCAAGTGGTGCTCTGTTGTGGTCTGATGCCAGCCTTTGGATGTGTTGGTTCCATGTCTCCTTGGGAGAGGCTCCCGTGTAGGCCAAGTTCAGCCACTGCCTTTGATTGCTCAGGGCTACCTGGTAGGAACCACAAAGCAATCCACAGATGATTGCTTCTTATGCTGGATCTAGAGACAAGTGGGAGAGATTACTCTGCAAGACAAGGTAGGTTACCCCCAGTACCCAGCCTGGGGAGACTTAGCAAAAGGATCAATGCACTTCAAGGCCTGGGGCTGCCTTCCAGCTGCTCATATGACTCTGCAGCTGGAAGAGTCTTTGAGTGATATGTGAGTTGGGTGGCGCAGGGACCTAGGGAGTCACTGGGGTAAAGCGAACAAATTTCACCCTACCAAAGCAGAGTTAGGTTTCATTCCAGTGCTGAATCTGTGGCTTTCTGTAAAAGCCTCAGATTGCAGCAAAGTCAGCCACTTCGCTCCTTGGGCCCTCAGATCCCCATGATCCGCCCAAAAGATATTGCAGCTCAGGCTGGCACTAGTGGCTCACCACCAAAAGTCTCCCCTGAAATGTGTTGGCTGCACATGGGCCATGTGAGCTGCCAATAACTGTGCAGCCCAGGAAAGCAACAGGGTGGGGTTGTCTGCCCAGCAACGGGGCTGCCACACACAATTTGTGGACTGAGTGGGGCAGGGCCCCAGGGAAACATGGGCTGCTCTCACCGGGCCAATGCAGCATCAGAACTGACCCTACAGGGGGAAAGTTCAACGCAGGCAAGATGCTGCCCATCTATAGATTGCCCTGAGGCCTAACAAAGGAGCCCTGGCGCCACGCAACTCAGTCTTTCCCTGTATGTTTCCTGCACCTCCCAAGCCACTGACTCTCCACCAGAGCTCAGAGTGTGTATCTACAAGTGAGTGATTCTGTGCATGAGCCCTTTAACAGGACATCTGAGTTTTCAGGTATTTTCAGTCTCACCCAGATGGCCAGAGTCCCCACTGGCTTTTACGTTCAGATTTTGTGGGGACTCCTCTTTCCAGAACTGGAATCCCAGGCTGGGGAGACCCTGTGTGGGCCTGGGACCCCTCATTCCTTCAGGAAGGGGGAACTCTGTAGCCTCAGTTCCCTTCTCAGTACTTAACTACCATGTGTGGTTGCAGACCCAGACTGCTTTATATCTTTGCCTCTCCTACCGAACTCAATGTGGCTTTTTCTTTATATCCTCAGATGTATGTGTTATGATCAGCTAGACTTCAGGTGGTTCTCCAAGTTGTTTCTTTTATAGTTTGTTTGTAATCTTAATGTGGTCACGGAAGGAGGCAAACCTTGCTTTTACCTAGCCCACCATCTTGACCAGAAACTCCCTCCTGAAGATTCATTCTTAAGTGAGTTTGACACCAACCAGAACCTAATGTTCTAAGGGCTTAATGATTAAAAGAAGTGGACATGCAGGAGAATCTGGGGGAAAGAATGAAAGTGAGTCATAGTTCTATCAGGCTAAACAAAGTTAGCTTGGATTAAAGAAAAAACCACTACGGCCATGCCACCCTGAACATGCCTGATCTCATCTGATCTCAGAAGCTAAGCAGGGTCAGGTTAATATTTGGATGGGAGACCACCTAAGAACACCAGGGTCAGGTTAATATTTGGATAGGAGACCACCTAGGAACACCAGGTGCTGTAGGCGTAAAAAATCAATCAATCAATCAATCAATCAATCAATAATAAAGCAAAATCCATGCTAAAGAAATGAAGTTCATGTGCAGTTACAAAGTCAACTAGGTATTCTGTTATCAAAAGGATTTATTCGAGGAAAAAAGAAAGAATTGCAATGCAGTACATGCAGATATAGCCAGCCAGACGAGCACGAAGCATATATATTGCTGTATAAGTACCACATACTAACCAGCCATGAAATGTACACCACTGGAGAGCTTCTCCTACAGGTTCTTCTAATTTCTGTGCAGGTTAATGTCTCTGTCATAAATTAAACACTGAAGATTGGTGGTAGGAGGTGAGGGGTGCAGTTCTTGGTGGGAATTCTGAGTAATGTAGCTGTAAGAAACATCTAAACCTATAGAGAATTTTTATAAGAATTTATCTGAGCCAAACTAACGACATGTGCTGGGGAGCAAGATCTTATGTGCTCCAGAAAATGACAGTTTTGAAGCTTTTTTTATGCATTTGAAATTAAGGAGGGAACATAAGGAAGATTACATGGAGGTGAGAAAAAGTAAGGCGAAGATTGGTTTACAGGATGGTTAACAAGATTATGTGCTCTCGAGGATGGTTAGGGATTATTTCAAAGGTGTGTTAACCTAGATGCACAGAAAAAAAAATGGGATTACTTAAGGCAAAGATAAATCTTTTGCTAAAGAAGTTATGCGCCTGGGATGTGACTACCCACCATGACCTGCCCAGTTAGGAATTTATGATCACATCACCCTGTGAGGTTACTTTCCACAGAACTCCTTTTTTAATTCACAGTACTGTTTCCTGGGAAGAGGAGCAGATGGTGGGCAATAAAAATATGTCCCCTTGCTGAATTTCTTCTGTTGCTGCAGAGGGAAAACAGTGCAGACTCGGTGCAGGGCAGGCAGGGTTTCTGTGTTCCCAATTGGTGGAATGGATTTGGTATTTTATTCTAATCATAGGGTAAAAGTCCTGTACTTAAAGGAAAGCTTGAAACATGTGCATAAATGTGTCTAGGAAATCGGACTAAACCAAATCCTGTTTATTTTCATAGCCATTGGGAGTGCTGATTTGGGGCATTTCCTAGAGTATCTGAAGCAGCCTGGATTTGTGCCTCAACTAAAAGTAGTAATAGCAACTGTCAGCACCGAGCTGATCAAGAAGGGAAGGCTTTGGTGGTGAGATGCCCAGGTGGAAGAATGCATGAGGGGCCGACATGAGAACGATACGGCAAGCACCAACTTTATTGTGGGGAGCATGCTTCTGTTGCAAGGAGCGCACTTCTATTGCGGAGAACACGCTTCTGTTCCAGCCCCCCTAGGGGATCACATGAGCTCCACGTATATCAGAGTACAATAGTGGCATTCTTCCACACATGCATGATACAATAAGCTGAATTATGTTCACATATGTTAGGCACAGGCGCCCTACTACACTAATGTAACATTCTAAATCCAGGGTCCTATTCCAAGCCACAAGCCTGGATCAGAGCCAGACCTGGGACCTGCCAGGCCTGGGACCCACAGCAACCTCACATTGATCACTTATATGCAAGCTTTGTGTACTAAGTGCCCTTCAAGCACCAGCTCTTTAACAATTCCTCAACCCCTTGAGGTTGATATTGTCATCTGACTTTCCTGATGAGGGATCCGAGGTTTAGGGATATAAGCAGCTGACTCAAAGTAACATAGCTAATAATGGCAGAGTTGGTATTTGAACCAGGCCTGCAGAACCCCAAAGTTTGTGTCTCAAGATGGATACTATGCTTTCCCCTTTTCCCTATCCCCACCCATCCCTCCTGCCACGTCCTGCAGTATCATACTGGCTGCCTATGAGGAAAAGTATTACAAATCAATCTTTGCATCCCACATGTAAGTTTGGCCTCATCTTCTATCTGAAAACTCTACTCTAAAAGTCAGGATATTCATTGACTCTGGAAAAATAGTCTGTACAATTCAGTTGGAAAGCTCGAGCAAAAGCTGCAAAACTTACCTTTCAAGTTCTATGAGGTTTTAGTGAGTATTATCAATGTAAAAAATGTCCAGATCTGTAAAGAATTTTTGTAAGATTTTATTTGAGCCAAACTAACGGTAATTGCCAGAAAGCAAGACCTAAAATGCTCCAGAGAAATGACAGCAGTTTCTTTTATGCATTTGGAGTTAAGGAGGGAATTTGAAGAAGAGTACATGAAGGTGGGAAAAAGCAAGGCAGGGTGGTTACACCTTGAATGGGTATTCTGTCATTTCAAAGGTGTGTTAACCTAGATGCATAAGAACAATGAACAGGGCTTGCTTAAAAACCTTTCACTAAAGAAGTTATAGGCCTGGATACCCACCATGACCTACCCAGTTAGGAATTTATGATTTATTACAGCACATACCCCCCTTTTTTTGTCTACACTATTAAGAGGCTCCTTATCAACATCTGCCAGATTCCTGTTCTGTTGCTTCTGCCTTCTCTCCTTTGTTACGACATGATAGCACACCTGTTGTTTAAGGTCAGGCTTTAAAATATCAAAGTCAAGAAGTCAGAAAACATAGAAAATGATGATTCAATAAATGGTTTGAGATAAATAACTAATAATAATTTTTTAAAAAGAAGTCTGGAAACAGTCACCATATGTATTTTTGGAAGAATGACAAACTCATTGTCAAACTTGTTTTTCTGTTCAGCAGAAAATGATATATAGGTGCTGATATATAGGTCCATTATGCAATGGGCCCAGGTTCCCCCTGATCTTTGGAGGAAGAGCGAATCCCTATCAAGAGGAGTTGTGTAAGTGTCTTAGTCTGTTTGGGCTGGGTGGCTTATAAAGAACAGAAATTTATTTCTCACCGTTCTGGAGGCTGGGAAGTCCAAGATCAAGGTGCCAGCATGGTGAGGGCTCTCTTCCTGGTTCATAGCCAGTGCCTTCTCGCTGTGTATTCACGTGGTGGAAGAGGTGAAGGAGCACTCTGGAGCCTCTTTTATAAAAACACTATTCTATTCATGAGGGCTCCACCCTCATGATCTAAGCACCTCCCAAAAGGCCCCCCCAACCTGTTACGATCACATCAGGCATTAGGATTTCAACTTATGAATGTGTAGGGGGAGACACAAACATTCAGACCCTAGCAGTAAGTCCCCATCAGCTTCCAAAAGGTAGGTCCCAGGGTATGTGAAAGTTGGAGGGAGTGACTGGAGACAAAGGGGTCGAATGTAGTTCATTTTTGCAGGGAAATGGAAGGAATCCATTAAGGTTCCCAAGTTTTCAGAAGTCCAAGATCAGGCTGCCATGCTTGCCTATGGATAGGAGCTGTGAACAGGATAGGCACTGTGAGACCCAGATTTAGATCTAATACCACTTGCAAATGTCATATTTATGCATTTAGCAAAATGTCATGCTAGAAAATATCATATTTAGCAAATGTTATATTTAGACACTTAGCAAATGTGATTAGCAAGTAACCATGTTCCTCAACAGAGGCCTCAGCTTCCCCATCTGTAAAATGGAGATAATGAGACCCATTGTCCTAGACTGTAGAAAGGATTAAATGAGATTTGCATGTAAACTTCCTGACACTTTAGCAGGCACTTAGTAAATAGCATGTTATTGTTATCATTTAAATTGTACATAGACCCATTTTGAGTTTGTTTAGATGATTGAACATATTATAATTTACATTCTAATAATTAACAAATGTTATCCTCAGCAGATGCAGATCTGTGGATCCAGAATAGCAACTGTAGCAGCTGAGAAGTCATTCTAGGCTCTTGGCCCTGTGTCTTGGCAGCAATTTGATCTGAAGATGACGTCCAGGGTGCTGTGGGGCAGCCTCAGCCTGCTCCGCCTGGTGTGGTGTCTCCTTCCACAGACCGGCTATGTGCACCCAGATGAGTTCTTTCAGTCACCAGAGGTCATGGCAGGTAAAGTGCCCCATGTGTGGCTAAAGACAAGTTTCAGCAAAGTCTGGATTGGATCTGATTGGATATTTACTGAGGAGGGAGAAACATGTGTGTGCAGATGAACAATAATAAATCCATGAGCCTCTCTGGAATAAGAACTTGGGTGTGGGGACTTCACATCTCCTCCCTCAGTGGTGACATTGACCTTCTGGATGATAATAATGAAATGCCAGCCTCTTTGATGTTTTCCTGCTTGGACAAACAGTACAGGTTATTCAGAACAAAAGCTGTTTTTTACTTCTCAGTGGGAGGATTTTAGAGTTGGGCTTCACCAGTAGCTGGGAAAACTTACAAAGGGTTGTGATCTGAGATAATGAAACTTTTCTTCTGTAGATTCATATGAGGGCTGAGGGAATCCAGACCCAGAATTTATTAGAAGTTGTCTTGTTAGAATTTATTGGCTAGGTGGTGTAGGACATATTATGAAGATGGTTGCCAGGGATGTTGAGACTTTTCAGATGCTGTGGGCACATGGCCTCTTCCTCATGGTTCAACATGGCTGCTTGAGCACCAGCCACCAAGTCTAAAACCAGCCACCAAAGAAGAAATGAGCATGCTGTTCTCTTCAAGAGCATATCCTGAAAGTCATGCCTTTTGCCCATTTCCATCCCTTTGGTCAGAATGTATCACATGACCAAAGGAAGGAAACTGAAAAATATCATTTTTATACCTGACCAAATGCTCAGCTAAAGAGAGTAGGGAAGAAAGAAGAAATGGTTACTAGGGAGACATCCAGCTATTTCTGGCACAGGGCTCTACAGGTGCTATCTGTTTTTTAAGTTGAAAGGTCCAGTCTTATTTTCCACACATTTTTTTAACCTGAGCCAGCAAAAAGCAACCAGATCAGTCTGATTCTAGATTTTGTTTCCCTTTCACCTTCTGACATAGAGAGAAAATGGCCAAAAGGCTGGAGGAATAAGTAGGAGAAGCAAAGAGCCCTAAACAACCAGCAATGTTATCAAGCATGAGATGTAGGCTCGGAGCTGAGATGTAGAAATTGATTTTGTTTCCCTCTCCCCGGCCCCTCAGAGCTCTGGGACACTGGAGCACAGGGTCACAGACCAGCCCCAGGCAACAAGTACTTTTTAATTACATAAGTACTGCTTGAATATATTCTTCTTATAAAAAAAATTAAGCATCATAGGCAAAACTAAAGTCACTTTTGACCATAGTCACAATTGTTTATTCCCTTCCCCCTTCTCACACTGCCTATTCTGGATAACAATCGTAATTTCAGAGATGGATTTTTGACTGACTTTGGAGACTTTAAATTCCAAGGAGAGAAATGGAGCCTCCCCCTGCTCCTCCCCTTATGCCCTGTCCAGGGCCCAATGTCACCTCACGTCCCAGGCATGGTTCCTCCTGCCCCCTTCATAGGTGAGGCCTCAGAAGAGCTGGACTCCTCTATATTAGTTTCCATTGCTGCATAACAAACCATCACAAACCTAGCTTTTAAAACTGTTAGTTCACAGTTCTGTAAATCAGAAGTCCAGCATGGGCTCTCTGCTCAGGGCACAAGGTTGAAAGCAAGGTATGGGCTGGGCTGAGTTCTTGTCTGGGAGCTCTGGGGGAAAATCTGTTTCCAACTTCATTCTTCTTGTTGGATGAACTTGTTTTATTGCCACTATGGAACTAAAGTTTTGTTTCCTAGCTGGCTGTCAGCCAGAGGATGCTCTCAGCTCCTAGAGACCAGCCACATGTCTTGCCAATGGTCCCCTCTATCTTTAAGCCAGAAGTGCTGTATCAAATCCTTCTCATGGCTTGAATCTCTGATGTTCTCTTCTGCTACCAGCTAGAGAAAACTCTGTTTTTAATGGGCTCATGTGATTATGTCAGGCCTACTCTGGTTATCTCCCTATCTTACAGTCAGCAATCCCCTGAGATATAACCTAAAATCCATCATCACAGTCCCAGGGATTATATGGGGCATGTACATTAGCGGGCTGGAAAACCTGGGGGCCATCCTAGAATTTTGTCGGCCATATTCTCTTAGCTTGGAACTGGTTCATCTCTGCTTCTCTCTCCACAGAGGACATCCTGGGCATAGCGGCCGCACGGCCCTGGGAGTTCCACCCCAGCAGCTCCTGCCGCACAGTGGTTTTCCCACTGCTGACTTCCGGCGCTGCCTTCTGGTTGCTCAGGCTCTGGGAAGAGTGGGGACCACAGCCTGGCCCAGTGAGTGGCTATGTGCTGCTGGTGGGGCCTCGGCTCCTCCTCACTGCCCTTTCCTTTGGCCTGGATGCGGCTGTATACTACCTGGCCCCTCTGTGGAGGGCAGAGCGCTGGAACGCCCTGGTCCTGCTGTCTGGTTCCTATGTCACCCTGGTCTTCTACACAAGGACATTCTCCAATGCCATCGAGGGATTGCTCTTTGCGTGGCTGCTGGCACTGGTATCCCCCCATGTGGCTTGGAGCCCTACAGCCAAGAAGCCTGCTCCGGGCCCATGGTGGCACGGCTCGCTTCTCGGGGGCATAGTGGCTGCTGGCTTCTTCAACCGGCCCACCTTTTTGGCCTTTGCTCTGGTCCCCGTCTTCCTCTGGAGCATTTGTGGAGCCACAAACCCTGGCTTCAAGTCACTGACCAAAGACGCCCTGGGGCTGCTTCCAGGAGCGACTCTAACAGCAGCAGTGTTTGTAGCTGTGGACAGCTGGTATTTCTCCAGTCCATCTAGATCCACTATTCTTGTCCTTACACCTGCCAACTTCTTGTACTACAACCTGGATCCTCAAAACCTGGCGAGTCACGGCACACATTTGCGGCTCACTCACCTGGCAGTGAATGGCTTCCTGCTCTTCGGGACGCTGCACGCCCAGGCCCTGCAAGCTGCGTGGCAACAGTTGCAAGCCTGCCTCCAGGCCTTTGCACGAATGGGCTTCCGAAGGGTACTTGATGCCTGGAGCCTGCTGTCCAGCCCCAGGCCGCACCTCTTGCTCCTCTACTTCACGCCCCTGGCCCTACTGTCTGCCTTTAGCCACCAGGAGGCTCGGTTCCTGATCCCCCTTCTGGTCCCCCTGGTCCTGCTTTGTAGTCCACAGACCCAACCTATACCCTGCAAGAGCACCGTGGTCCTCTTCAATGCCTTGGGTGCCCTCTTCTTCGGCTGTCTGCACCAGGGGGGCCTAGTGCCTGGCCTAGAGCACCTGGAACGTGTGGTTCATGCACCTGTGCTCCCAAACGTACCTACCCACTACACACTCCTCTTCACCCACACCTACATGCCCCCTCGGCACCTCCTACACCTCTCAGGCCTGGGGTCACCCGTGGAGGTGGTGGACATGGGTGGGACTGAGGACCAGGTCCTGTGCCAAGCCCTGAACAACTTCACCAGACAACCAGCTTGCCAGGTGGCTGGTGGGTCATGGCTCTGCCGCCTTTTTGTGGTGACTCCTGGCACCACCAGGCCTGCCATGGAGAAGTGCAGCTTCCCCCTCAAGACTGAGAAACTCGTGTTTCCTCACTTGACTCTGGAGGACCCACCAGCCCTGTCCTCCCTGTTGAGTGAAGCCTGGAGGGACCATCTCAGCCTTCACATCCTGGAGCTGGGAGAGAAGCCTGACAATATGACAGAAAAGCCACTGCCATAGGTGAAGCCACTCTACATTATATGTGGGTAGCTAGACTGGGACAGAGCCCTGATTCTCTTCATTTCCCTTCCAGAATTCCCATCACTGCTTCTCCTGTGCACAGCCTTGCTCTACCTTCTGGATAATCTGGCACCCTTTTCCCCTCAAAGACCAAAGATCTGACCAATCATGGACCTGATTCCAAGGTCCCCAAAGAACCTGGCCTGGTGTAACAAATGGCACCTAATGTCTGTTCCCTTTTCCCCTCAAAGACCAAAGATCTGACCAATCACGGACCTGATTCCAAGGTCCCCAAAGAACCTGGTGTAACAAATGGCACCTAATGTCTGTTCTGCGCTATACCTTCCAGCCACTGTGATGTTTTAAATGTAGGATAGCACCTGCTTGTGAAAAGAGACAACTATTTACTGATGACATTCCTGAATGACCTCCTACATATCTTCCAGATGCCTTACCTCTTGTTGTCAGGACAACCCTCCGGCTTCGTAGATACCTAGAAGGAGGCAGTGCGGTGATGCAGAGACATGAGGTAGTTTCAGGGTACCTGAGTTCTAGTCCCCGGTCTGCCTCTCACTGGCTGTGTGATCTTAGGAAAGCCCTTTTCCTCCCCCAGCCGGTTTCCCAATCTGTACGATGGATCAGAGGATCTCTGAGGCGTCTGCCAGCTAAAACTGTCATTCCTGCACAGTGTCAGCACAGTCTGCAGCATGTGTCCCCTGGCTAGACAGGCATGTCTCTCTCAAATCTCTTTAAACACAGAAGTGGGTGTGGTCGTGTATTTAACTGCACTTTGGTGCCTGCTGTCTTAGTATTCGGTTATTACCAAAATAAGTAGTTCTGCCATTTTTCTCCCCGTTCCCTTCTACTCCTGTCGCAGAGAGAGGTGGTGGGACATTTCAGCATCTCACTCTTTAAGGATTATTTATTCTCCCAGATTAGGGGGCCTAAATGTTTTCTCTCTCAGCCTGCCCCCGTGGGAGTAGAGAACATACAATGTTCGGTCAGTATCTGGCAGCACTTGAGGACGACCTGGTGCTCCCACAGGCCTTTCTTCTTAAATGTGGTCTGGTCCCTTTCCATGCTCAAAGCCCCTGTCTGAAACTTCTCTTCACAGGATAGAGAGAAAATCCCACTCCAGACCTGCTGCTTTGGTGGAAGCTATCACAGCCCCGAACGTGCTGCTCTCACCATGGTGAACCCTGACCCTGTCCACTGATAACATGAGGAACTGTGGAACTACACCCTCCCTCCTCGTTCTCCCTCCTCACACCACTGCTATCTCATGAGAACAAGAGGCACCCAGGCCACAGAGACCAGTGGGCTAGAGGACAGCGCAGAGCAGGAGACCAAACCTATACAAATGACCAAACCTGAGTCCTTTTCTAATCCTGCCTTCTGTTGACTAAAGCCTTGGGTCATCTAAAAGCTATGCCCTTTTGGACATAGTTCCATAGTGTAGCAGTTAGCACGTCTGCTTTAAATGCAGGTCTTGGGTTTGTTCCCCAGTGGAGCCATGGTCCATGGTATACGGCCATGCCACCCTGAACAAGCCCGATGTCTGATCTCGGAAGCTAAGCAGGGTCGGGCCTGGTTAGTACTTGGATGGGAGACCACCTAGGAAGACCAGGTGCTGTAGGCATTAAAAAAAAAAGTCTATTAAAAGCTATGCCCTTTACAGGCATGCTGCTCTGTGACTGCTGATAGGGTCTTATGCCACACATTCCTCATGACTCTGACCCGAGGAAAAGCCAGTGATAATGCTGGTAAATGTTTAGCAACCCGTTCTCTGGGCTAAAAAAAAGAAAAAGAAAAAAGCCCCAATTTGTAGCACTTGCTAATTTCCATGGTGTAGATATTCCCACATGGCTGATTCCAAATCTACTGGATGTTACTGAGCTCAGAGTTGGGAGATGCTAAGGAAGGATCTACTCCTGAGACAGTATAAGCTGGCTCTAGTACTCTATCAGACATTTCCCTCCTTCAAACTCTAGACCCATTTGTGACAACTCACTGTTCTTGTTGTGGTTTCTGTTTCTGCTATGGACCTCTGATTTGCCTTCCTACCCTAGTGCTTAGCATCATCTCTGGTGCTAAGCACTTATTTACTTTGCGGCCAAAGATGGCATTTTGCCCACAAATTAGAAACCAAGTGCCACCTTGGAGAACCCAAGACTCTAGCATCTCAAACTCCTTGGGGCTTCTTGGGACTTCTGCCTCTTCCCTTCCCTAGTTGGGTCCACAACCTAGAATTCCCTGGAGAAACTATTGGTGTAGTAGTCCTTGTAGATTGTGGTGGTCTGAGCTCTAATAAATTTGTCTGTAAAGTGTTGGTATCTGTGTGGCATCAAAAGATCAGCCAGAATTACCCTGCAGGATGATAAAGTAGGTGAATTGCTTCCCTGCTTCACTTTCTGGCAGATCTTAGAAGAGCATGAACGGCATGCTGGGAAACTGTTGCCACAGCGGGTGGTGGGAAGAATTTCATGTTTCTTTAGTAATACGGTAACTGGTGAGATGGCAAGCCACTGACTTAAAAACACTGGAGGCTTTTCCAGTGAAGTGGGGAGCATCCCAATCACCTGTGCTAGAGCAGAAAGGACCCAGTCTTCTCTCTGCTTTGACTCCTTTTACAGAAACGGAGAGAACTTAGTTCCTGTACACTCCTTCCACAAAAAATAAGCAGTGGTCCCCTTCTCTCGCTCTACTTTTCTTACTGAATGGACAGTTTCTCTAGAAATTTCATTGCCTCCTGTACTGCTCCCCTTTTTCTCTTCTAGAAAAAGACCAAACAGTGAGCGTTCTTGTTTATGCTGAGGGTAAGGGGTTGGGCTGGAGACTGCTAATATTCTGCTGCTCTGATATCCAGAGACCAATGGGTGGGACTGAGACCAATGAGGCAGACAAGGCAGTAAGAGTGGACAAACTCTTCAGGCTCCTCACCGCCAGGCTCCAAGGAGAATCCAGTAAGTTGCTTCTAGTTTGGGAGCATTTCATCTCTGATGGGAGGAGAGGAGGGCAGGATGCGAAACCAGGACTTTAGTCATTAAGAGAATGGGATTTCTGGCCTCAGAGGATAAAACAGCAGCAACTCTGATAGGAAAACTGGACATTGGGATGTCAAATCAGAAGTCTGAGCATGAGGAAAGTGAAGGACAAGCTACTTTAGCTTCTCCATACCCAGGAAAGGTTTTCAGCCTTATCCAGCTCCCTATGACTATCAGAAAAGCGAGAGTATAAATTGTTTGGTCACCAGCCAGCCTAAAAGCTTTTCTTGTAGCTTCAAGCTTTCTAGATTGCATGATTACCTCAGTAGCCTAATTAGAGGTATTCAGAAATTCAGTCAGAAGCCTCAAATGAGAGGACATTTCTGTATACAACAGATTTCCTAAACACAGACCCATTAGCTGGACCAGTCTTTAGCTTGTATCCTAGATCCTATAAAATGGGGCATAGGAATTCAGGTAGTTTGTTCCACGGTGGGCAGTAGTCCTAACACCCAGTGCTGATGGTAGTGGGGTTGGGGAGGCAGGCATTGAAGGTCATGGGTAAATGATGCACTGATTATGGACTTAGGCCCTAGGGTTAAATGCCTGTATTTAATCCTGCTCTGTAAGGCCAAGGCAACATAAGAAGTAGCCTACACTTCCTCATATGAAAATGGCTGTAAGCATGAGATAACCCACAGAGAGTGCAATTAGCAAGTGCCAGCACAGAGAGAAAGTACTCAATATGTGTTAACTAGTACTACCATGGGCTTACAGTCCCCAGGAATCCTAATCCATCTTGCCAGATAAGTACCACACTCATACCCATTACTCAGCTCACATATTTAATCAGAGAATTTTGGCAGCTGTAAGGTTGTCCTTCCATCCATGATCTCCTCTGAAGTAGTGCCCTATTACATCAGTGCAGAGACATTACCTATATCACGAGTTTTAGTCCCATTCGCAGAAGGCAGACCCTTGTTCGGACTGTGGTATGGTCCATGGCTCTCTGTACGCGGTGTATCAAGGCCTACCCTATCTTCGATTCTGTTAGGTTTCAGGGGCTTTCTTCACACACTGTGCCATGTCCGATCTCAGGGCTACACCGGGAATGTCGGTTTGACCTGGGCTTTCTGATGGCTGGGACCTCTGCTGGCTGACAATCTGAGTCAGGATTTGAAGACGCGCGCAGTGCCAGGGATGACTCCTTAGCGCCGAGTACAGTGTCGAGCCCAGAAGGGAAATCGGGCGATTTGGGCTAGGCCCAACCTAGATTTAGGGGTTTGCACCTGGGCCCCTCTGGCTACCTGGTGGTGGCCCTGGGCGTTCCCGGAGGCCGCGGCGTAGCTCCTTAGTGAAGATGTCTTTGAAACGCGCAGCGCGGCGGCCCAGGGAGCCCGCGGGCCCAGCCGCGAGGCCTCGCAGGCGCCGGGCCGCGTCCTGGCCGCGCAGCTGGGCCTGCAGCAGTGCGAAGGCGGTGAGCTGCGCTGCACGACGGATGGGCCGCGACTCGGACAGGCGCTCCACCAGCTGCGGGCTGTGCAGCAAGATCGCCAGCAGCCGCCGAAGAACCATTCTCAGAGTGACCCGGAACCCGGAGCGCGCAGCTTTGGATTCTGATCGGCGGCGCCCGACAACGGACCACATCTGCGCCGGCGCCGCCCGGTGACGGCACTGCAGCTCTGGGATTGGTCGGCAACATTCCGACTTTCTGCAGTCGCCCCGCGCGTTTCCGGTTCCGCCACAGCCGAGACGGCTCGGTGTTCCCGGAGTGGCGGCGTCTTTGTCCAGCTCTCTGCACTATGTCCGGTGGCCTCCTGAAGGCGCTGCGCAGCGACTCCTACGTGGAACTGAGCCAGTACCGGGACCAGCACTTCCGGGGAGGGAAAGGCGGACCGCGAGAAAGGAAGGTCCTGGGCCGGAACGCTGAGAATCGGTTTGCTCTAGTCTCATTGTGTCGTCTCCCGTTCTCTGGTTTCCCCAAACCCGAAGTGAGGCCCGGCGCCTTCTGGGGAATGGATGCTGCAAAGGCGTTTAGATATCACTGAATCTCGTCTCTCATAGAAAGGGAGTTTGAGGCTTGCTTTCCTATTGCCCTGCAGTCGCTCCCATGCCAATGCAGAGGGGTTTGAGCGGCAGTAGTGGTGGCTCACGTTTTCACAGGCTGTGTCCCGGGAAAGATGACTTTGTGATGAAGGGAATGGGTGTCATTTTGACACTTGGGGTATGTGGAGGTGCCTTCCTGACTCAGATACTGGGGCTTCTTATTATTTTCAATTAGCCAAAGAGTCCTTTGGCGTTTCGAGTCCTTTCTTTGGTCTGGTAGAACGGTCCTATAAAGTTCTACGCGGTGGGTGAGAGATACAGAATTGAGCCCTGTTTCCATCCTTAGGGAGCCCTCGGAGTAGGGAGGTGGACCAGCCAAGCTAGAGACGTTAAGAGTTTGCATGTCAAGATCAGAGAATGGTTGGGTTTCAGACGAGGAGAATTTTAGTTTGGCATACGTCATGGTAGTTTTTGTGTAGAAAGGAAAGGCTACAGATATTCAAGGTGGACTATTCGGTATCAGCAAAGGCAGGAGTAGGGTGTCGCGGCGCTCATTAATCACTGGTTATTTAGTATTTTTATTGAGTGCCGTTGCTAAGCCCTGGAGGGAGACGGAAGACAGTTTCCGCACTTTGAGTTCACAGTCATCTAGTAGGAATTGTAAATGGAGGCAAGTAATCATAACCTAGAGCAGAGATGATGAGTGGAAAAGGAAGGGCTGTGAAAATTCAGAAAAAGGAGAACCCTTGTAATTGGGAAAGGAGGGGAGCACATATTATAGAAGAGGGTGGAGAATGTGTAAAAGTATTAGTAGAGTAGGGAAAAGAAATTTCGTTTGAGGCCAAATTAAGGAAGATCTTAAATTCATTCACTCAGCCGTTTTTAAATGCTCGCTATATGCTAGGCATGATTTTCACTTCTATCATTTACAGCTCTCATTACTTATAAAGTTCCACATCATAACCATCTTGAATTGTAAGCATTCTGCAAAACTGAAACTGAAAAGATTCAACTTGCTATTATTCATCTCTGCAGTTTAAAGCCTGTGGCTTTACTTAGATAGTAGTAAGATACTGCAGTGGGGAATTTCTGCTGTTTCCTGAATGGAATCCACGTTAATATCATACCTCAAGTAAGACTTACACCACAGTTGTCTTAAGTCATAGGCTGCTTGTTTGGACATTACTTACATGTGTAAGAAAGAAAGTAGAAAGAAAAAACAAAATGCCTCCTGACCATATTTTAAGAAAGAAAAAATAATTTATGTTAAAGCAGTAATACAAATAAAGTGAATCTACTTTATCTAATGTCTCATCCTAAAGTTCTGAAAACCTATTTTTAATGAACAATGTCCTGTAGACTTTTTAAGGAAGTATGGGATTGGGGAATTAAGTGAGACCCTATACGTGGAGTCTCTGATTGGCAGTCCTTGATTCTTCATAGAGGCAGATGTACTTACCTTTTTCTTGTGTATAGTATCTATGTATAGTCATACTTTGAAAAAAATATAACTGGGAGCATTCCTTTCCCATTGTTCTATACTTTTTTTTGAGCTTTGCTCACTATCTTGGGGATGTTCCATATCACTGCATGTGGATGTACATTTTTCTTCGGGCCGCGTAGTATTATATTTATTGATGTACCATTATTTATTTCATTATTTTCCTTTTGATATAGTTTAGATGGTTTTTCTATTTTTCTATTCTACCATTGAAGGTGAGCACACATGAGACCCATTACTCTGAGCACTGTGCTACAAAGCATTCAGAGATGAATAGTGCAAAGTCTTATTCTCAGAGTGAAGAAACTGGATCAGAATTATATATGGAGTAGTAAATGAAGAAGGGAGGCTTCTTGGGAAAATGCTCTAGGGGCCTGAACATGGTTCCGCTCAGCTACTTTCCAAGCTGGAATATCACTGTGTGGCTGATGTTAGAGCCCTAACATGAGTCTGAAGGGCCTGAGAGCAGTTCAGCTGGCACGTCTTCTATTTAATCAGCATTTGTCTTCCCTAGTATGGAGGCTAAAAGGGAAGGTCCAGTTGCCACATTGTTTCTTTGAAGACATCTACAAATATCATGTCTGGCTCATGATGAGTCATCTTGTTCTCAGAGGTTGTGTCAGATGTGTTGGCTGAAGCCCAGTTACATTCTTGTCTCTGGCTTCATCTTATCTTCCAAATTAGGAAGCCTGTCAAGAAAATGAGATCTCTTGTTTTTAGTGATCACATTTTCTCCTAAACTCAGCAAAATATATGAGCATATAACTAACTAAGCAGTTGTTACTTTGAACATTCTCTCTGGGAATATTACAATATTACAAGGGGTACCCTGTCTCTGCAGATCCATTTATTTTTCTACAAAGGATAAAAGAGCTCTTTCTAATATATTGGTTCAGGGTCTGGAAATTAAACTTGGGGTATTAGAGAAGGATTCAGTGCTGAGGGTATGGAGAATGCAGGGAAAAGGCATGGTACTTGTGTGGCAGTATGGTGCAGGAGGAGGACTATGTGCATAACTTTCAAGCCATGGCGCTCTACTAAAAGCAGTCTGGACCTTGCATAAGTACTTCATAGATTGTGAATAACACCTTTGGGCAGGGGGAGGGCAAGAGATTTGTCATGGATTGGGATCATGAAAGAAGCTGATTTCCAAATCAGAATTAATGAAAAATTTCCCTCATACTTAGGAATACTATTTAAGCAGGGCTTTTCTTATGTTATGCTGCTTAACTTTTTCTCTATTTTAAATTATAGGGTGACAATGAAGAACAGGAAAAATTACTGAAGAAAAGCTGTACGTTATATGTTGGAAATCTTTCCTTTTATATAACCGAAGAATAAATCTATGAACTCTTCAGCAAAAGTGGTGACATAAAGAAAATCATTATGGGCCTGGATAAAATGAAGAAAACAGCATGTGGTTTCTGCTTTGTGGAGTATCCTTTATCTGATGTAGCTGTTGGATGAGGATGGGGCCTAGGGTGGTTAGTCACCTGTTTAAAAAAATGGATGAGGATATTTGCTAATTAGCATTATCTCTACCTTTTCTTCCTTCATCAACTTCCTATCTTTGTCCAGTGTGTCTATACTCTTACATTATCAAAGCTGGCAACGTTAACATTCTGTTCTGAAATCCATGCTTTGTTTATATTTGTTCTTTAAGAAAAACAATCTTTCAAGAATATATGCTCATGGAGTTTAAAAAAGTGAAGGGTATCGTGAAAATAAAATCTCTGTACCATTCTAAGCCCAGAGACAATCAGTTACCAGTCTCGTGGGTGTCTTTCAAGAAGTAATCCTGTGGATGTGTGGCAGTGTACTGCATGCACTACTTTTTATCACCTTTAGAGATCGTTCCATATTGGTACATGTAGGTCTTCCTCTTTTTAAAATGGCTGTATAGCATGTATTTCATTATATTGAAT